TTTTTGCATCATGCTGCAAATGTACTGCACCCATGAAGAGTTTTCTTTAGAATAAAGATAGGGCACTTTGCCAGGAGCAGAGTGAGAACTGTGATTGATAGGCAAATGTTAATATGAAAGTGCCTTATAGTAAGTAATATAATTTTCAAATTGACAAGAAGAAACCAAAACTTTGGATTGGCAAATGGATTTTTAAAAAATACCCATCTGCTCTGAATTAGGTCTCTTGACCTGGATGAATTATATTTCTGGGAGCTGATAGTATCTTTGAATAGGATTGCAGAGCCATTCTTGGTCATCCATGAGGACAAGTAGAGAGTAAGAGGATAATGCACAATTGAAATTCCATGTATAAGCCAGGCTTGGTGGCTCAGCCTGTAATCCCGTGCCTTTGGGAGGCTGAGGTGAGTGGATTGCCTGAGCCCGCGGGTTCGATACCTGCCTGGGCAACTTGGCGAGACCTCATCTCTACAATAAATAAAAAATTAGCCAGGTGTGGTAGCGCGCGCCTGTAGTTCCAGCTACTTGGAAGGCTGAGGCGGAAGGATCGCCGGAGCCCAGCAGGGTGAGGCTGCGGTGGCCGGGAATGGCCACTGCACTCCAGTCTGGGTGACAGAGTGAGACTCCAACTCAAAAAAAAAAAGAAAAAGAAATTCCATGTATAAAATGCTCAGTGAGCTTAATTTCAATCTCAGATAAGATTCTAGAATATATTATGAAAGGTTGGTTTGTGAGGATATAGTAGAGAAAGCAGTAACCCTTGGACCAATTTTATGTTCATTAAGAGCCAGCCTGTAGTCCTTTCCATTTTATTTTGTATAGGGTTACTAGATCCAGGAGCTGTATTAGGCATAGATTATATGTAGAATTTATGAAGGCATTTGACAGTTTGTCATAATATTCCTGAAGACAGGAAATACAGGCTGGTTACACAAATAACTGGGTAGTTTAATAAGAAAGATAAAGAGTTGTTCCTTAAATGTGCTGAGTAATGGATCAGTATCAACCAAGGTGATATGACATGCTGTGGAGTTCTGTCCTCAATCTTGTTTTATTCAGCATTAAAAAAAAAAAGTTTTTTTTGGTATGTGTTGGAGTCTCACTCTGTCACCCAGACTGGAGTGCAGGGCAGCTCCTGGCCACCGCAGTCTCGACCTGCTGGGCTCCGGCGATCCTTCTGCCTCAGTCTTCCAAGTAGCTGGAACTACAGGTTTGTGCTACCATGCCTGGCTAATTTTTGATTTATTGTAGAGATGAAGTCTCGCTAAGTTGCCCATGTGGGTCTCGAACCCATGGGCTCAGGCAATCCTCTCACCTCAGCCTCCCAAAGGCGCGGGATTACAGGCTGAGCCACCGAGCCCAGCTATTCAGCATTTTAAAATCAAAGAGTTAAGTGGATAAAATGACTTACAAGAATCAAATTCGCAAAGACACAAAGCTTAGAATTTCCTGGATACTAAAGACTGAGTCTGAGACGTATATGTATACACACACACACACACACACACACACACATACACACACACGCACACACAAAGATAATATAAGATATATATTTATAGTTCTGCACTTGGATCTGAAAGCTAAATGCTTGTATAATAGGATGCTTAATTGTGTCTCCTTCTCCCATTTATCCTTTGCTTTTTGTGCTTAGATAAGGAGAGAAGAAGCGAATGAATTATTCCACAAAGATAAGAGTGACAGCAGTATAAAATGATAAAATGTTAATCCTTCTAAGAGGGTTTGCACTCAAAAAGATGCCTTTGCTCAAAATGAGTGTCTTGTAAATTTCATTCAGTTTAGGAGAAGATTTTTGAGGTATATTTTGGTTGTAAAGAGTAGATAGTTTAAGAGGGAAAAGAGAAAACGGAGGAAGATTAGGTATGGAACCCAAAGGGCAAGTCCAACAGCCAAATCTCAAGAGGAACTGAAGTGAGGTACTTGAAGGACATTGGGTATAAGACAGTGATTGGTTCCGTTTTTTCTCTCTCAGAAACTACAGTGTCTTTGTCTCAGCTTCTCTCTGTGTGTCTTCTAATTTGCCTCTCTCTTTTCTGTAATGTTGCTTACTGCGTGTCTTGTGCATGACTCTTCTTCCTATGACCACCTAAATGCCTGGATCTTCAACACTTAAAAGCCTAGTTGGCTCATACCAACTTGGTTCTTCTGAGCCCAGTGTTCAATCCTGGTCCACCAATCAGCCATAGCTAGGGTAGGTGGGTGAAGGGAGTCTTAGTCACATTATTACATACAGCAGCCAGGACTGTGGGAAGTGGATTCTCTAAAAGGAGCACATTGGTGGGAAGGAAATGATTGTTATATTCAGTATAATGAGACATGGGTTGGCATGGTGTTTTTTTAAACAGGGACTTTAATATAAAAGCCAGTTATTGTATATAATAACAGCATATGATGGTTAAAAATACGAAAGACCAATGTGATCTAAGGTTGTATTAGAATATAATACTAATTAGATATTAGAACGAGAGGAGTTTGAGTCCTTTCTTATTTGGTTTTAGTAAGACCAACCACACTGAACTATGCAATTCTTGGTACCATACTTTGAAATACATAGGGAACACTGGAACAAGTTCAGAGAAGACTAGAATGAGGAAGAAATTCAGCTGAAAGAATCAGAAGTGTTGACCTGGAGAAAAGAAGACATGGAGTATTCTTGATAATTGTCTTTAAATTTTAAAAAGACTTATGCAAAAGAGACCTGGGATTGTTCTATGTGGTTACTAGGAGAGCTAGGACCAGTGGGACACTCCATGGAAGCAGAAGTGGGTTGAGCATGAGAAAACTTTCCTGAGAGACAAAACTGGTCAGCAGATGGAACAGGCTGCTTGTGAAAGTAGTTTCCCATCATTTGGGTATTAAAATGGAGGCTGGATAAAACACATCTAGGCTGAAATAGACTCAGTGAGCCCATTTAGAGCTTGAATTAGGTTATCTTTATGATTTCTTTCAAACCTGATGTTTTATAAATCTATAAATTTGATATCATTGGTCATTAGATGTTTGATGTAGTCATTTATCAACATCCTACAGTGTTATGTTTTTAAATTTAAGATTGTTATTATTATTATTATTTTATTTGGAATCTCACTCTGTCATCCAGACTGGCGTGCAGTGGCATGCTCACAGCCACCCCAGCGTCGACCTGCTGGGCTCCAGTGATCCTTCCACCTTAGCCTTCCAAGTAGTCAGAACTACAGGTGTGTGCTATCACGCCCAGCTAATTTTTTTTTTATTTATTGTAGAGATGAGGTCTTGCCAGGTTGCTCTGGCTGGTCTCGAAACTGCAGGCTCAGGCAAACCACTCGCCTCAGCCTCCCAAAGTGCTGGGATTACAGACTGAGCCACCGAACCTGGCCAAAATTGTTATTATTAAAGTTTACATGAGCCAAAATTTACTTTATAAAAATGTGTTGTTAGTTTCTTTCTTCCAGCCAACATTTGTGTAATGGCATTAATAGGCAGATATGGTGGCATCACTCTTAGTCACAGGAGTCATTTCTGTAGTCTCAAGGGAGGTTACATTAAGAGCAAATACTCCTTGAATAATCCAAGAGTTGATTTTAATTTAGTGCTCTGGAACAAGTATTATTATTTTTTTTGAGTTGGAGTCTCACTCTGTCACCCAGACTGGAGTGCAATGGCCGCTCTCGGCCACCTCAGCTTCGACCTGCTGGGCTCCGGCGATCCTTCCGCCTCAACCTTCCAAGTAGCTGGAACTACAGGCGCTACCACGCCCAGCTAATTTTTGATTTATTGTAGAGATGAGGTCTAGTCAACTTGCCCAGGTGGGTCTCGAACCCGCAGACTCAGGCAATCTACTCACTTCAGCCTCCCAAAGCGTGGGATTACAGGCTGAGCCACCGAGCCCGGCTTATTTTTTGTTTTTTTGAGTTGGAATCTCATTTTTTTTTTTTTTTTTTTTCCCCC